TAGATCTAGCGGGGAAATTTTTCCGCTAGATTTAACGGGAAATTTTTCCGCTAGATCTAGCGGGGAAGTTTTTAGCTAGATATAACGGGGAAATTTTTCAGCCACATTTAGCGGGGAAATTTTCCGCTAGATTTAGCGGGGAAATTTTCCCGCCAGATTTAGCGGGGAATTTTTTCCGCTAGATTTAGCGGGGAAATTTTTCCGATAGATCTAGCGGAAAATCCGCTAGAGGGAAATTTTTCCGCTAGATTTAGCGGAAAATCCGCTAGAGGGGGAAATTTTTCCGCTAGATTTAGCGAAAAAGTTTTTCCGCTAGATTTAGCGCGGAAAAGTTTCCGCTAGATCTAGCGGAAGTTTTTCCGCTAGATTTAGCGGGGAAAATTTTCCGCTGGATTTAGCGGGGAAATTTTTCCGCTAGATTTAGCGGGGAAATTTTTCCGCTAGATTTAGCGGGGAAATTTTTCCGCTAGATTTAGCGGGGAAATTTTTCCGCTAGATTTAGCGGGGAAGTTTTTCCGCTAAATTTAGCGGGGAAATTTTTTCTGCTAGATGTAGCGGAGAAAATTTTCCGCTAAATTTAGGGGGAAATTCTTTCGCTAGATTTAGCGGGGAAATTTTTTCCGCTAGATTTAGCGGGGAAAATTCCGCTAGATCCAGCGGGGAAGTTTTTCTGCTAGATTTAGCGGGGAAATTTTTCCGCTAGATTTAGCGGGGAAATTTACCCATAATGCACCGCGCGGTTATGCCGACGCCGACGGCGACGGCGACGCCGCTGAAGCCGGAAACGGGCACCTAAGAGCTGCGCTCTAAAATGTGATCCATCTCTGTCAGCCGACATTAAACATAAAGCCGTTTACAACTCCCTGTAACGCCGAATTGGAGCACAGCTCTTGAGGAGGAGGAAGGAAGGGTACTGAGGGGGAAAGTAGACCCCTCCTCCTCCTCCTCCTCCTTCTCCTCCTCCCCTCATTCTTTAATATGCTCCGGGGGGGTCACCTCCTCCTCCTTCCTCCTTCTCCTCCTCCCGTCATTCTTTAATATGCTCCGGGGGGTCACCTGACCTCCGGGGGAGGGGGTCGCGTGACCTTGGGGGTGGGGAAAGGAGGTGTCACGTGACTTCGGGGAGGAGGGGGGTCACGTGAACTCGGGGAGGGGGGTCACGTAACCTTGAAGGTCACGTGGGGAACACCTTGGGGGTCACGTGGGGGACACCTTGGGGGGTCACGTGACCTTGAAGTGACCTTGGGGGAATCAGGTGACCTTGGGAGGGGTCACGTGACCTTGGGGGTCGCATAACCTGGGGTCGCGTGACCTTGGGGTGACCTTGGGGGGTCACGTTGCTTTGGGGTGACCTTGTTTACGCGGACGCCGACGCCGCTCAAGCCGGAAACGGGCGCCTAAGAACTGCGCTCTAAAAACCGCTTTTGCCTGCCTGTCCTATTTTTTATTTTATAACTTGACAAAGATTGAGGTTTTCGGCACCTCTCAACTGCTTCACCATCTTCTGAGTCACGTGCGCTGTGACGTGAAAGGAGGGCGCGCGGGGTTCCGGTGAAGCTCTCTCTTTAGAGCCGTCAGTGAGCAGCGAGAACTCACCCACTCGCGACCACGTGACCACGTGCTTGCGCAGCGCGATCAACATGGCGAAAGGAGGAAAATCTCGTCCTGGTCCGGCCACCCCCGTCTGGCCCTGCCCCCGTCCCCCTCCGGCTGCATCGCGGCTGTCCGCGGTAGCAGAGAGTGCTGACGGTTTTCTTGGCCTTAGATAGATTGCCGCACTGAATCTCTGTTTAACAAAAGTTTTGTCGATGATACAAGGTTTTTGACGCATTTATGTATATGTTCGAACAAGATTAATAAAGAAAAAAAAAAAACCTTGTATCGAGCAGGTATTTGTACAACTTCCTATCGTTTTAGAAGTCCCCTATTGGCGCCACGCCGCGTGGTTCTCATGGCCACCGCTCGCAGCTGCAGGTCAGAAAATATTTTAATTTTTGCCTCGCAATTACGCGGAGGAGTCGCAACATTTCGAAGGAAGATGTGTTTTCAGTCCTTTGAGGCAAGATTAACAATGTCAAAAGTTGAAGGTGCAAATTCTTTCTACGTTAAAATCGTTGCACAGCTTCTTAAAGGGGATATGACACGCTAAAAGTAAAATATGAGATTAGATTGGAACACACACATTGATAACAAACTTCACATTGTTAAGCCCAACTTAAAAGTATGGGAGAGTTCCTCCCATGCATAAGAACCACCATTCCGAAGTCCGTTTGTGCCGTTTGAGAATTGGTCATTCTCGATTGACGCACCCGCACTTGTTCTGCGGTGAAGTTGTAAGACTCTGTGAAAAGTGTGGGAAAATGCTGTCCTTCACATCCTTTGGAATTGTAGATTTATTGATCATCAAGGTCGAAGATATTTTCCTGAACTTTTCAAAAACCACCTTCCATTTCATCTTAATTTTTTGCTTGGTGATAGACCTTTGGTACCATTTGCTCGAGTTTTAAGTTTCCTACATGCAATTGACTTTTTACACCTGATATAGATAGATAAGTAAGTTTAGACGTAGCTGCTAGGCTCTTTAAATTAACTTTCTTGACGCAATATGGCCATAGTCGCTCTTGCGCCATTAAACCCCAGTTATAATAATAAAAATATTAGATAACAGTACTGCTAGGACCCATTGTATGTTCCTATAATCCTGCTAGATTTGTTTTGAAAATGGCGTGATATTTTTGTGGATAAATCGATTTATACGCGGGTCCCTCGGAGGGGCGGATGCGGGCGAAGTGGGAGGCCGGTGACGTAGCCAGCCTCCCGCGCAGCGTCCCCTTGCACGCACTTACAGACTTGGCTCTCTTGGCGTCTCGAGCTTCAGCTTCCTCGTTTACCTTTCGCGTTTCGAGCATGCTGTCCGTGACAATTACGTCTACGGCATCGCTCGCCTTATCAAAGCTTTCGACATTTATCGCAGCAGCAATGAGTGGATTGCCTTTAAGAGATGTTGGAAGGTGTTAATTTTAACTGCGACTCTCTGGCGTCCAGCTCCAGCGACGCCGAGTTACGAACTCGCTGTGGTCACCGTCGTCCGGGAATATCTCGCAGGCGCATGCAGGCTGAAAGGGCAACGGGCCGGGGGCGAGAGCGAGAACAGCGTTCGGGTTACCGAGTTGCGTGAGCGGTTTTGATCGTACCGTGACGAGGAGAGCTTGGGCGATCATGGGGGCGCGTAGAATGAGAGCACGTTCATGATCACATGGTTTATGGACACCATGGTGTCACTAACTTGGGCAGTGTTGCCTGGTCACCAGATGAAAATGATAAAAATGCGCAAATTGATTGTGGCAATTACCAGAGCTCTAGTATCGCGTAACTTGGCCTATATACTAACTAGCCTGTAAGCGTAATTTCAAGAATAATCTATCCGTTTAATTTTCGTGTCATAACCTCTTAAGATCGAATAGAGTATAACAAGAAAAACTAAGACTAGTTTATCAGAGCGCAGCTCTTAGGCGCCCGTTTCCGGCTTAAACGGCGTCGCCGTCGCCGTCCGCGTAACCGCGCCTTGCATTATGACGTCACGAGGCTTACTCTCGTGAGGGTGACGAGGGTTACCCTCACAACGGTCACGAGGGTTACTTTCACGAGGGTCACGAGGGTTACCCTCACGAGGGTCATGATCGTTACCCTCAAGAGGGTTGCGTGGGTTAGTTACCCTCAAAAGGGCTACCCTCACGAGGGTCACGAGCGTCACGAGGGTTACCCTCGCGAGGGTCACGAGGGTTATGAGAGTTACCCTCACGTAACCCCCCAGAGGTCACGTGACACCCCCCCCCCCCCGAGGCCACGTGACCTCAGGGAGTCACCTAACCCTCAGTACCCTTCCATTCTCCTCCTCAAGAGCTGCGCTCTAATCAGGCGTTACAGGGAGTTGTAAACGGTTTTCATTTTTCAGCTGTTAACAATAGGGAGTGATTTTATGTAGGATTTAGCGAAAGTAAAGAGATGGCTTTCAAACTTGAACTTACCTAAGACGTGCGAAGTGTTCCAATTAGGCATCGCATTATTCTAATTGTAAGAATAAATAGAACAAAATGATTGAGAAAGCTTGACGTGAAAAAAAAATACCTGCGCATAACTAGAATGGGTCAAATGTACCTGAAACTTAAAACAAAAATTTGAAACTTTTTCTGCGTCTGTTTCAAACAACAGGCTTTGCCCCTCTGGTACTAAAATGCTCTGTGATGGACATGGAACGATAGGTAAAACACGGCAAGTAATCGTGAAATAATGACATGCTTGTGTAATAGCACAAAGAAAAACGCCCGTCATTAAAAGCAGATAGATTCGAATGTTGGGCTATAGTATTTGAAAGTAACATTTCATTAAAAGAGAAATACACGTTTTGTGTAATCCCTTTATATACGGTCACCAAGTTAGCCAACAAAAGTCTAAGATAGTACTTAGCTGAGTCATGTGAATGCTTGAGTACACAGACGTAAACTTTGTCTGCAATATACTCAGTGAGGGAAATTGTCTTCAGAACTGTTGAGCAGGACACTTCAGATTTTGTGCACAGCAATTGCTGTATCGGAAGTAAGGTTTTCCTGCGGTTCGGGTCCGGCCTTGGGACGTTTGTTTTGTCGGGGAAAGCTACTCTCTGCTTCCGTCTTTGGACACTTGCTTGGCGCGTGCCCATGACGTGGGTTCAGGCACCCAGTCACACGTTCTGCTGGCCGTTGTCAGGGCCTCTGCTGTTGTGGTCATCCCGCAGCTCCCCCCCCCCTCCCCCCCCAAAAAAAAAAACAAGAAAAAAGGTGGAGGAGACGACAGCAAGAGTGCGAGGACGGACGCGCGCGCAGGATGTCTCACGGTCTTTAAGGAATCGCGCGCATTTGTTTTGTCGTGCACAGCATTTGCTGTGTCCTGTCTGGACAGTCCTTTAGATGGTGGCGCAACGCTTGGCCCCTTTTTTCACTGAACCTCTTCACACATTTCAGGCTATGGCAAAACATCTGGCGAGTATTACCACCTCTTGATCGAAGCACTGAGGCTCGCTTTCGCCGACGGACTGAGCTGTCTGTCCAGCCCCGGTCACAACAGTCTGACATCGGTGATTAACATGACCTGCAAGAAGCATGCCGAAGACAGGCGGGCTTTAATTGACAAGAAAAGGTAAGTAATGCGCAGTGGTAACTGCGGTTATCGACACCTGGATTGGGTGGTCCCAGAGGAAATATGACTCCGTGACACGTGTTTTAGTCCGCTCAACTTCGTCCTGGTTACATCGTCATAGTTGAACATCGTTCGCACCATCTCAACCCGGTTGGTGCGTTCTTGTAAACGCTAGCGAGTATAGAAGCGCCTATGGATCCCTCGAGCCAAAAGTTTGGCAACCCTTGATGTAGAATACTGCCTAGAGCACGTCTCTGGGTGTGTTTACTGCGTCTTCTTAATTTTTATCTCTTCGATTTGATGCTGGTGACCTCACTACTGCGTAATTCTGCTGACATTTTAACCTTGCATGGAAAGGACCAGACAACATCAATAAATGAAAAGACAACACAATGATGCCCTGTTTTGGAGATTCATCTTGCCATTTCCTGCTTTTCCGCATGCTCCCTCCACAGGCATAATGTGCCCGATTCAAGCACATTTCCTATCGAGAAAATAGTGCGCTTACCGCTAATCGAGATGGCCACTGTAGAGATCTTTGTGCCCAGAACCCGAAGTAACTTTCTTCTACAAAAAACAACGTACCAAGCCGCCCAGCGGCGGCACAAGGTTGCCTGCAGCAATCACAAACACGAGAGTTGCGCCCTCTACATCCGCTGCCCCCCCCCCCCCCCAAGGATGTACTGCACCCAAACACTACACGAAAGGTTCAACCTCCGGGTGTACATCACCCGTCTGCAACACCTGTTTCTTTGTACGGGAGTGATGAAAGAGTGGGGTTTGTTGCGCCGGAGGTTTTGGCTTGTAGGCGAAGGTGGCTGTTGCTGTTGAGCCGATCCTTGAGCTGCAGGTGCAGGTGGTTGTCGAGGCGAAGCTTGTTCTTGCGCTGCAGGTGCCGCGGGCTCTTGAGAAAGAGCCAGTCCTTGGGCATCTTCTCTTGCGGTTACGTCTTCATTGACTGTTCTGAAAGCCAGCAAGTTTCTCCGGTTGCGCTGCCAGATTGCTCCCTCATCAGTTTCCACCACGTACGACATGGGACGTTGCACTGGACTGAGGAAAATAGCTTTACTCGTTTTGGACGAACCCAGACGCGGGTACCGTCTTCCAGTGGCGAGTGGTTTCTAGCCTGATGGCGGCGATCGAAGTCTGTGGCTTGCCGACGCTTGAGCTTCGCGTCCTTGGTGGCCGCCTCCTCCTGCGGCTTGCTACTTGGCACCAGCAATCTCCCCTCCTTGGGAAGACGTGTGCGGAGTCGGCGCCCCATGCACGATTGTGCCGGACTAAAACCCGAGGGTCCGGGGTTGTTTCTTTAGTTAAGCAAAGCCAGGCACGGATCGTGCGCCTTGCGCAGAAAGTTCTCCACCGTGCGCGCCATGCGCTCTGCCTCCCCATTAGACAGTGGAAAGTTGGGGATGCTTGTCCGGTGTGCGATTCCGTAAGATGCCATGAACCGAGTGAACTCGTGGGACTGGAAGGGTGGTCCGTTGTCTGAACGGAGAGTAGATGGGAGGCCGTGGCGAGCGAAAATGCTCTTGAGTACTTTGATTTCATGCCAAGCTGTTGCAGAGTTGAGTGAGACCACTTCCGGGTAACTGGAATAATAGTCGACCAGGTGGAGATAAGTCTGTCGGTTCAGGTATAACAAGTCAGCACCCAGAAAGCCTCCAAGGAAGACTTGGAAGCTGCGTGCTCCGAAGTGGCTGTGCTGGATTGTCCCGGTACGACGTGCACTTTTTACACTTACATGTGCCACAAGCGCTGCTATGTCAGCGTTGATACTTCGCCACCATACCGATTCCAGGGCCCGAGCCTTGAATCGGTTAATGCCTTGGTGACCTTCATGAATCAAAGCCAGAGCTGTCTCACGTTGCACTCTTGCTACCACGATGCGGGTGCCTTTCAAAAGTGAACCATCACAAACCGAAAGTTCGTCCAACACGCTCACGTACTTTGTCAGGTGAAACGGTAACTTCGACTTTAGAGGGAACCCACAGTGGCACATCGAGGTGAGCGCGCCACACTCCCCGTCGTTTGCTTGAGCAGTTCGAAGGTCCTCCAGCTGTAGGGATGTTGCCTGTGATGAGGTCTGAAGGACTTTCGCCGCAAACACTTCGTTCGTGTCTGGAGGACGAGACAGATCGGCAGGTTTGGTGGGAACGCGAGACAGGGTGTCCGCTGTTGCGAGAAGCTTCCCAGGGGCATACGACATCGTGATTTGGTACCACATCACCTTCAGTCGAAGGCGCTGGATACGTGGAGGCACCGCGTCGAAGTCTCTCTTGCCAAACAGTGAAACCAGTGGCAGGTGATCTGTATCTGCATCGAAGACCAACCCGCAGAGGAACTCGTCGAACCATTGAACAGCCAATACAGCTGCCAGGGCTTCCTTCTCCGTTTGGGTATATCGTAGCTCAGTCGCTGTAAGGAACCGCGACGCGAAAGCAACCGGACTTTTTTCGCCGGAAGGCTGAGTTTGGAGAAGGACTGCCCCCAAGTCGAATGAACTGGCATCCGCTGAGAGGACTGTTGGATACGCCGGATGATACCTTGCCATACAGCGGTCCGAGACGAGCATCAGCTTGAGCTTGGTGAATCCTGTTTCTTGTTCGTGGGACCAGTTCCACGCAGAATTCTTGCCGAAGAGCGCTCTGAAGGGAGCTGCAACGTCCGATGCGTGCGGAATGAAGCGCCCGAGGTGGTTCACCATGCCAAGGAGGCGTCTTGCACCTGCTAGGTCAGTTGGCGCGCTCATCTGCTTGATCGCTTGGAACTAGCTTGGGTCAGGACGGATGCCCCTTGCAGATATCATCACACCCGGGAAGGAAACGCCGTTCTGGAGGAAGCAGCACTTCGTCTCGTTCAAGGTGATTCCTGCCCGGGATAGTCGCGTCAGGACTTGCTGCAGCCGGGAGTCGTGTTCTTCGAGAGTGCGTCCGAAGACGAGTATGATGTCTATCACGCACACAGCGCCCTCTAGCCCTTCCAAAATCATGGACATCTGCTTCTGGAAAAATTCAGGCGCTGAGCTGATGCCGAGCGGCATCCGACGGAAGCATTGGCGTCCGAGAGGTGTGATAAACGTGGTGATTTCTTGCCATTGTTTCACCGACTTCACCCGGTAGAAGCCTGATTTAGTGTCCAACTTGGAGAACACTGCTGCGTCTCCCAGCAGACAAAGGACTTGATCGACCGCGGGAAGGACGTGGCGTTCTCGCAGAACCACCCCGTTCAACTTCGTAAGGTCCACGCAGAGCCTGTGGCCCTTAGTGGCTTTGGGGACGACCACCAGACCGGCGCACCATGGCGTTGGCATGTCAACTTGGTGAATGACACCTTCTTGTTCATTTTCCGAAGTTTCTTGCGGACGACTTCACTCAACGGGATGGGGATGCGCCTTGCTACACTAAGAGAAAATGGAACAGCGTCTGGCTGGATGCGGATCTTATATTGTTTGGAAAGAGATCCAAGGTCATTAAACAGTCTGTCACACATGTGAAAAGAAACCTTGACGTGAGAAAGGTCCTTTTCTCTCGATGAAACCCCGTCAACAAACTTGGAAACTTTAAGTGCCTGAATGGCTGGGAAGTCCAAAAGAGGCACGGAGGGGGATTGTACCATGTAGTCTTCACTGGGTTGACTTGCCTCTCCACAGCAAAGTAGCCATTAAGGACCCGAGGACGTTGAGTGGCTGCTGTCTAGGCCCGAAGAGAGTGTTGTCCACGTTGCCGAGGGACGGCGGCAGGTGGGGGAAGGTCTTCGAGACAGCTGAAACTTCGGCTCCCGAGTCAACCTTGAACACTTCCGTGTAGTCGTTGACAGTGACTTCCACGAACTTGCCCTGGTCCGAGTTGCGAACGGTGTACAGTCCCAGCTCTGCCACCTGGGTCGAGCGTTTCTTACGGGAACGGCAGGCGTCCACAAAATGACCTTTTTTCTTGTAGTACTTGCACAACGAATTGCGTGCGGTGCATTCCGAGTGAGCGTGTGAAGCGCGGCCGCAGTAGCCGCACAAGCTAGAGCTTGGACTGCGCTTCTCGCGTGCTGCGCTGTGCTTGACGCGACCTGCTTGTGGCTGACGAGACTTAGCAGCGTCGAGGCTCACCGGTCGGGACGGCGTGTCGTGGCCTGCGAGCTGGTCTCTTTGCTTTTGGGCGTCTTTTGCTTGTCGCGCCTGCACCTATGCTTCTTTGAGGGTCAACTTGGGGTTGCGGCAAGGCTGGTCAGCGAGGCGAGCATAGCTTAAGCCTACGATGAAGCGGTTGTAAACGAGGCGGTCCACGACCTCGGGTGACTGGTAGTTTCATCTCTTGCAGAGCTTGCATAGTTCCGCATAGTAGCTGTCCGCCGTCTCCCCCGGCTGTTGGACACGCGGTGAAACTGCGTCGACTCGTACACCTCGTTGAGGGAGTGGACGAAATGGGCCGTAAACTTCTCAAGGACCACCTTGTAGTCGTTAGGAACGTCGCCCAGGCCGAACGTCGCAAGAAGAGGACGAGCTTCCGGCCCCATGCAATAAAGAAGTGTGCGGACCTGAACTTCTCCCGATGCCCGTCGAGGACCGGAAGCAAACGCGTATAGTCCTCGAAAAGGCTAAGCCACGTCGGCCAGGAACCGGCGTTCTCGAAGTCGAAGGGGTCTGGCTGTTGCAGAGAAAGGCCCTGCCATGAAGGCTTGGCGCCGTCTCCTTTGTTAGGCATGACAGCGAGCAGGAACATGGCGGTCGAAAGCCGGTCGGTGGGTGAGCAAACTACGCACTTACGGCGGAGACGGTTCATGTGAAGGCGATGCCTACTTCACTAGGCATAACGGCGAGGAGCATAGGGACAGAAGGCGCAGTTGAGACAGTTGAGGCCACGGACCGTGCGGGCTCGCTGCAGGCAGCGAGCGAGCTACGCATTAATCTAGTGGCAGCAGAGAATGCGAGCGTTGGCAGCGTACTTTCTGACACCATGTAGAGACCTTCGTGCCCCAAACCAGAAGTAACTTTATTCTCCAAAAAAACAAAAACATACCAAGCCGGATGGTTATATGGATGGATATATGTTAATGGCTATACCCCTTGTTACGGGCGGTAGCTTGCGCCACCTAGCCCAAGCCGCCCAGCGGCGGCACAGGGTTGTCTGCAGTAATCTCACACAATTGGGTTGCGTTCTCTACAGCCACCATGAACAACATCGGTTTCTTGCGTAAGCGGAGGGAGCGAAACTGGCTGTTGAAAGAGTGGTGTACGATATTATTGGAAGGTGACAAAGATGAGTGCGATAATTTCTACAATACGAAGAGCGCCAAAAGATTTTCTACCTTGTGCCGGCAAGACGGGGTGACGGCAGAACACGATTATAACCGTGTCCCATGACGCCTTCATGTGTGAGCGTGGTAGGACGAGGATATTGCTGCTTGCCTGACTGAAAACGATTAATCGCAAGGACGAGACTTGGCAATAGTGCTTTGCGTAATTTCAGTAGGTATCGTGAAGTTATTAATACCAGCAGAAAAGCAGAAGGAGCTCGGTGGGGCAGGATTGCGGTGGCCAGGGCCGGCCCTACAGCATTAAGTGCTCTGGACGAACTTTCGGGGAGGGGGGGGGGGGGGGGGGGGAAGGGGAGCGGTGCGCCCTCCCCCCCTCCTTTTTATGGCGCGGTGACGCCCCTGCTTCGATGGTTTCGTTTCGACCGACAAAAAGAAACCCAGTTTTCGGCCCGCATGACTGATTCTACGCATTGCAGAAAGTTAAAACTCTCTCACAGAGTGATGCTATAAGTTGTTATAGAATGTGAAACTTAGAGATCATGACGTTCCCTGCACCAAGGGATAAAGGTGGAAGACGGGATATCTCAACGAGCCGACGTCCCTTTAACCTATTTCGCCAAAACAAGACATGACATCATGGGCTTGTGCCATTTATTTCAGTAAAACAAACTTGTCAGCACGAAAGACGATATTGTTTGATTTCTTGCTGACAAGCTGGGTTTACTGAAATAATTGCCACAGGCGCCCACAATATCATTTGTTGTGACGAAATTAAGATTAGGTGAACGCCAAAAAAAAAAAAATATATATATATATATTTATATATTTCGTTTTTATTTCTTAATTTTTTATCCTGGTATCCTCCGTTCTCCAACTTACACAATATATCCACACCGCTGGCGTCGCATTCTCACACAGCGTCCTTTTGTTTTTTACAATCTGTTGTGTTTTTATGCTGTTGAAAGAATAGTTTTTATTACAACGACAGAACCCGGCAGCTCGTTGCTTGTTTGTTCCGTGTCAGCCTTGGTGACACCTGCGGAATACATAGTTTCGGGGACAACATTTTCAGAGTTAATCTACAGGGCGCGTTCCCTTCGTGTCACAGAGCCATAGACAAAGTGGCGGCCTCAGACCTCCTGGCTCCGCCTCAATTCCACACCACTTTCTTAACCACGGTCGACGAACATGGTAACGCCTGCGCCTTCATCAACAGCAACTTCAAGGGATTCGGGTGCACGATTGTCGAAGAACACGGCTTCGCTGTTCACGTAAGTCGGCACATAGTTTTTTTTTTCTATTAAAGGGCCCCTGCAACTTAAATGGCTCGGAATGTTTTACACTTTTTAGTGAGCTTACTGGCACTAGTGGGATCCAAGTATATTCGCACGAAACGCCACTCACCAAGGAGCTTTCCTTCGTTGCCTCATAAGTTCAGGGGTAGAAGCGGTCGTTTGCTATCCGGAGAGCACGTCGTCTGCTTCTTCCGCGGGGGTTGCGGGGACGTCGGAAAGACGTCGAGCTTTGATTGGCTTTGTTTGGAAGGAGAGTGGGTAGACCTTGATGCTGGGTGGCTTGAGGTCTACCTACTATATGTTTCAGACAGCGAATAAGAGCTTCGCATTCCCACATCATCGCAGCCTCAGTGCAAGAAGCAGACGAACTTGCGCTCCGCGTAGGTTTTTTCTTCGCAAAACTTGACGAAGAAGTTGTAGGGAAACCGTCCGAACTGGATCAAAACAGCATGCATGGTGGGGCTGCTCCTCATTAAAGGTGAACGGAGTATAAGCGCGTCTCCTCGGGATACCCAGCCTCCAGCATGTATGCGTTGCTTGCATGCTTTGGGTGGACATGCGCGCACAGAACTCTCGAGATGTCGAAGCCTTACCGAAGGGTAAAGGTGGGAGCTCGCACTCAAGACAGGAATCCTTAAATACCTCCCTGGCGTTCTTGTTCAATACACAGCTACGGTGTAGTCACAAAACCTGGCAGTTCGACGGCGGAATCATAAAGTGCCCCGTCCCGAATTTAGCGCGAGGATCTGGTAGCCAAAGCATCAAAGAGCCAATTCTCGGGGAACCTAGACGTTAGCGCACAACTTTTGCAGCGGCGAGGACCCGATACGCGCTTGTTTGCTCGGGAGAAGTATGTTTCGGCGTCTCGCCGCAGCGAGGCGCCAGTCACGTGGTTCTCCTCTCATCCGTTGTCTGCCGCCGTACCTTTTCCATTTCGGCTGCCGCTTCTTGTGGCAATCTGCCAGGCTTTGTCAGTATATAAAAGGCTATGGCTGAGGACTTGTCAATATTACAACGGTGTATACGCGAAGCGACGCGATCGTGGCAGCAGCTTGACAGCGTTTTGAACTGGGAATGAAACGGATCATTTAAGTGCGCGCATTTTGGCTTGAAGGCCGCTTTTCTTGACATGAGCACGTGTGGACGGCGTGGCACTCACAAAGCATACCACTCACTCTCCTATTCTTTGCCTTGCTCGCTCGCACTTATATGGTACTCACGGTGAAACAGAGTACACAGCCCTTTTTTATACTTTCAGCATGTTTCAGACAGTGTTTAATGACAAAATCTGACGGGACCGTCTTACACGGAAGGAAGACGCCCCAGACATGATCTGCAGACTGTTTTTTGTATGATGGGAATCAGCCGTGTGACCACGGCTTAATGTTAATTTCATTCATATGCTTTAGGTGCCGTGTTGTTATAAATGCTAGCGCTGGGGTCTGTGAAACCACAAAGGTTACCTTAGTCGGGTGTTATACGTAACAGGAGAGGCTGGAATTTTTTATGCATCAGAAAAAAGTTTGTCTGTCATTACCCGGAACCTTTTGTTTTGACATTCTCTAGGTTTTTTTATGCGAATATGAGCTATCTGACATTTTGTGTTTCATCGCTTCTCTAACACCACTGTACATCACTGTAAACTGTATGCACCTTCCAAACATCTCATTTTTACCTTTGCGATGATTATGTGGAAGTAGTGGTATTTGAATGTCTGTAGTTTTAATTTGTTTATTTTAGGTTTGCTTCGTTTACATCATGCACGCATTAACATGGTGGAAGCTTGAAATCATTTTGTTCTAGAACCTAAACTGCCAACACCGTCGAGATTGAAGTTCTTTTATTACTCTTAGATCCGTCGATGAGAAATCTTTTGCTGACGTAATTGTCTGCATCCGGCGAATTGTGGAAGGCCGACCATAGCGTACAGGGAGTGTTCACTGGCGGTCATAGCTGTGTGCTCGACTGCTGAGCGCGCGCTGAGCCGCGCTTCCACAGTTCTTTTGCAACGTGCGTTCCACATCGCCAAAACTGCCGGTCTTTTCAGCCTCTTAATGTGAGCCCGTATTGAGCATACCCTCTAAACAACGCCCTTAAAGGAGCGATGCAACAGTTTTTGTACTGTGCACAAATACCGCTTAAAACGGATCCGTAACGTTAATGACCTATGAAACACGCGTTCGTCTTTCACCCCACGCAATAGAAGTCCCAGAAAACAATTTAAGAAAAACGAGCAGCGTTCACCCCCTCAACTCGCAGCCAGAACAAGCGGCCACGTGATCTGGAGCCGATTATATGCCGCCAGTGTTGACCATAGCCGCGCGCTGGGGTTGGCAAAGCGCAGGACACGCGCTGAGTTCCAGACATTGTTATGGCTCGGCTGTTGTCGTCGTTGCAGCGATTGGACACGGGTCACAACCCGAATACTTCTCGAGCTAGCAATTGTCACGAGCCCAAGTCGAGTGCCCACGCAATGCTCGGGTCCAATCTATGAACCGCATTCAAATATCGTCACTTGGGTGTACTGCGATCCCCGAGTTACGTCATCAAATTTTGCAAAGGAGAGATTGAATGAAAATGATCGCTTCTGTCCTTGAAATTACACCGCAACAAAGGAGTTTCTTGGCCAATGGCGTTGCGTGTGAGTAACCTTGAGTCCCAGGTGTGCCAGTAAGCTCGTATAGAGAGAAAAACATTCCAATTGAATATCGTTGCACAGCTCCTTTAAATATGGCGTCCGGTGAATACCTTCTATTATGGAGTTGCCTTCGCTTTTTCTCAGCACGAAGCACCGGGAAGATTAATTGTTAGATTCTTCTCTTTATGATTTTATACACCACTTCTAATCGTTTAATTGTTAACGATTTATCAAGGTCTGTTCCAATTTCAAAACAGAGCCGAGCCATGGGTTTTGTGGGAGTGGACGGACACCCGAACTGTGTCGGCCCTCTCAAGAAGCCCTACCACACCCTGATGCCGGTGATGGTCACGGACAGCCACTCCGGTGACTGGATGGCAAACATTGGATGCATGGGAGGATATGGACAGCCCCAAATCAATCTTCAGGTAGGCGGTGTCTCTAACGTCTCGGGTAGTTTCCAGAAGTATAAGTTTTAGGTCTAATTACTCACCCTTTTTTAAATTGTGTTGTGTGTATGTTTAGACTGCGGAAAGTTGCCCCACTGGGCATCTGGTTTCTCTGCTCTAGTAGAACAATTTAGCAAATCCAGCATCACTGCTTGTCTAGCGTCATTAACGTGCATCCGGCAATATTGAGACACGACCGCACATGTTTCTATATGCTCAAACCTACTGAAAAAAAAGAAGAAAACCAAAAATTTCGAAAAGAAACACGACTAAAATCAAAGAGATCATATTTTTTTGTTTTAATTCAGCGATTGTTCTTCTCCTTTCTCCATTCTCGTGTGTTTCGTTGTACGTTTTAAATAACCATGCCTTACCAACACGCCTAAGATTCCATTTTGAACAATTTAATTCCGATTTATTTGATTGTCATCAGGTTTATTTGGCTTATATTGGATTAATGTTAATTTATATCAATGTAGCTATTAAGTAATGATTCTTAATTGCTAGATATATTTGTAAACATCTCAGAATTATTCATCGATCTTTCGGATCATTATAAACGGCGTAAGAAATAATTGCTATAAATTTATTGAGTAAACTCATCGGTAATAGGAGAAAAACGGCTTTATATTTCTTTTAATGAATGAAAATGATTTAACTATTTTCTTTTTCTTTGGCACTCTGGTTTCCTTACAGTTGAACATTAGTTTCCTAAAAGTTGACTTCTTTTTTTCCCGTATTTTTACTAGCTGCAATAGAAGGCTACGTAACGAACCGACGAAGTAGACGGTAGAGAGAAAGCTCAACGTTCTTATCAGCTGAGAAGATCCCTGCTTTGTGCCCGTGTTCAGCTTGTTATAAAACCTTATTTAATAATAATTATTTTATATAAATACAAAACAAACTGACACTAAAAGCATCAAGTAGTTAACAAGCGGTAAATACAATTTTACTATTGGGATTATTTTTGCGGAAACTGTGATTAAAATCATCTTGATGTTTTTTCTCCACCTTAGAACTCACCCACACTTGCTGAAACTTGTCAACCTACTTGAATTGATTAACTGAAAGTTACGCGTTTTTGGGGATTATCAATCAGTCAAAGCTTTATTTTTCCAGAAAGACTGAAGGGGTCCTCGGGCAAAAAGCTGCTAGAAGCCGCTTGAGTGGGTTTGAGGATAATTTATTTTATCAAAAATAATAAGAGTCAAAAGAATACAAAATAACAATAAAATTTCAGAGAGCAAAAATCAATTATCAAGCGTAATTACGACAATAGTTAAACATGCCTTTTTTGTCATTTGTTGATAGGCTTATGTTGTTCGCGAAGCAGCTATTTAACACGTATGGTTTAGTGTAATATAATGATTGGCAGTTGTAGTTTTTGCGGCACCGAGGGGGGACCCTTGTGTCTGCACAGCGTGTGTTCATTTTACTTCCATGCTTTTCAAATTTCAAAACAAAATGTCACAAAAAACAAAACGAAAACGAATGCTGGTACTGAGAAGCGGATGGTGTAAAGTAAACCATAGTTTTACATGCGTTCTTCGGGGACTATTTGATATCTAGAACATAACGGTTCTAACCTGCTATATAACGTAGTTTTTCTTGCAAGAATTGTTGGTTTATAAGGTTTGGATTCGTTGTAGTAAAGCTAAAAGAATGCGTGGTAAATTTGTTTAACTTAATACTTACCGGTAAAACATTGTGACAACTCTAAAAATGCCAAAGACTCTTGAAGATTTAGCAATCAAATAGTTAACATGGCTATTCCATATCATACACTCGAAAACCGTTTTATGATGGCTAATAAACTGAATTGGCGAATCATCAAGTTTGATTGTATTTTTAACCAAGATCGGTTTATTAAGTAATATAAATAAAATGGCACGGTACTTTCGTGTGCTTATTTGAAGGGCTTTAACTTCGGACCACTTTGCGAATTTACCTAAGATATTGTATCAGGTGCAGAAAGAAGACAGGCTCGTATCATCAGCGTAGTAAACAAACTGAACTCGGTTATCGATTTTGAAAATATAATTTACGTATACATTAAAAAGAAGACGCCCAATTGCTTCTTTGAGGAATACCGAGAATAACGTTTCGAAAAGAAGAGTAATAACCATCAAATACTACACACTGTTTCCTACACTCTAGATATTATTCGAGTAAAGCTAGCGGAGAAGTTAATTCGTGTATAGCTTACTTGACGTGAGGTCACGTTACGTCATTCTTCCCGCTAAATTTAGTGGGGGGAACGTAATTGGTGTCTAGTTCACGTGACGCTAGGTCACGTGACGTCAAGTTTCGCGCCGAATTCGGCCGGGAAACTTAATTCGTGTATAGATTATGTAGCGTCAGGTCACACGACCTCAATTGACGTCACGTAACCGAAACACCGATACAGCTTCCACTCTAAATTGAGCGTGAAACGCACGGACCGACGGACAGACGGACGAACGGGCAAAATTTCGGGAATGGGGGCTCGTTAAAAAGCATTTCATTTTTTGAAAACAAGTTGACGTCCGTGCTTAGACAGCGTAATGTCGGTCTGCCTTTGAGGCATGGCGACACTGGTTTTCAAATAGATGAGAAGCTTAGCCAGTGCAGTACGACCCCTAGCCTGGAATATGTAACGTGCATCAGGCAGTAGTGATACACGACCGCATGCCGGTACGGTGCTCATTCGGATCGAAACAGGCGAGGGTAGGGGTTGAACTTGCAGGCTCTCTGTGTTCTGCAGCTCGAGCTTTCGCTCCACGTGCTCAGAGCTTTGAAGCGCCAACACACTTGGCCACCAATACTTTTCAGCAGCGGGGTCTATTTCCACTACTTTGATACGCATCCATATTTAGGGTGCTTTTATCTGATTGCAGGTTTTACTGGGGATGCTGGAGTTGGGCTTGAATCCACAGGAAGCAGTCGACAGACCCAGAGTCTTGATAGGTCCTGGATACTCGTTGCATCCAGAGTAAGCATCAATATTTGGCTTTTATATATGCGTGTGTGTATGTAAGAATATATCGGGTGGGAACGCGACACGTCAGAACAGCACACAACAAGACCACAGGACGTCGAAATAGCGCAGCGAGAAGGCAGCATGCGTCAAAATTACACGCGACACAACAGGACCGCGTCAATAGAACACAGCGAAAAACGAGCACGTGTCAAAACAGCAGAGTGTCACAAAAACACAGCAACAAAACAGCCCGTACGTAACATAAGTATATTTTCAGTGAATTCCGCATCCGCCATACTCGAAGTACACAGCAGCGAGCGATTTTAATTTGTTCGGGTTACTCAAAGCGGTTTTAGACGGAATAAAGTTCCGTACATGGGATAAATTGAATGCGGGCGTGCATATCTAGGTTCGTTTAAAGACCTTTGTTTGTTCTTCGTCCCCCTTGGTCCCCGTCTCCACGGATTATCGGCACCCGCAAGATATCTTTTTAACGGGGCATCCACGCGTCGGTAAAGCGTTTGCGCATATGTGCTGAGCCCGGGTGGGAATATGCTACAAAGCGGAAAAATGCTTTTAACCGTGCCTTTGGTATTAAGCGTATGAGATATAGATTGCGGTTACTTTTTGGTTCTGCCTCGTAAGCGTCATTGACAGTACATCACCAGTTACTTCGGCAGTATATCACGAAGCTACCGTTACTTCAAAGTAATTGCAAGTGAAATACGCTCCGCAAAACAATTGGTATAAAATCGATAATGTGGATGCAGACTTGTACCTAACGAGTCACAAGGAACTGATTCCTTGTAATCAGTTGCATTTTATTGCAACTTTTTAACGCTTCAATTACTTTTTTTTTCTGCGGTAACGTCTGCTGTAATTAAATAGTTATTTTTGTAATCTATTGCAAGTGGTAAATTATGTTTCCGAAAGAGCTAAAATTATTAACTTGAGTTTTTTTACGTAAGAAAAAATCACTCTGTCTGCCGGTGGGTCCCTGGTCTAGGTTTCACCAACGTATATGGACACTTTCTTTTGTCTCCCAAACAACTAAAAAAAAAAAAAAGATACCAATATACCATTGAGTGCCACAGTCAAAACGTGGCACTCAGCAACGTTTTGACTGTCAGTGGTCGAGAGTGCCTATTTTTCTGCGAAGTGAAAGTGTTATTTGTGTTATGTAAGTTGTTATAGCTTGTTTTAAACGTTCAAGTAAAGTGAAAAGTCATCAGTTACATTTTGGTAATTTTTATTACTTTTGCGATGCATTAATTGCTTACTGTAATCAGTTAAGTATTTAATAAAATAATTGTAATTGGTTACTTTCTTTTAGTAACGCGTACAAGAATGAGCGGATGTGAATGCATCCAATGGTTGCGCACTTGACCGTACGCCCCAAATAAACAAAAAATATATAAAATTGAAAAAAAAAATAAACAGTTTTACAGTACGTGGCCGCCGTTTACAACCATCGTTTATAAGGGATATAGTATTCTAATATTTAATTTATAAAAACAGTATTTTGCTATCCCTATCATCCTTCCATTCTCCAGAGCTGGAATGGCACATGCATTTTATGTCACGTTACGCTAAGTTGTCAATGTACTGTTTTGACGCTGTGGGGCGTTTGCTTTTGTTGTCGCTCTCCTGTTTTGACGCTGTGCATTTTTGTCGCGAGATATTTTGATGCACGTTGTTTTCTCACTGCTGTTTGACGCCATGCTCTTTTGACGCGTGCTTTTTCGACGGTGCTGTTTTGTCGTGTACTGTTATGTCGTGGGTGCTGCTCTGTCGTGTGCTGTTAGTGTCCTGTGCTTTTTTGTCGCGGTACAAAAAAGTGTTCCAGCAAGGAATGAACAATTCTTAGGAATACGATAATTAAAAAAAAAAAAAAAATTAGTCGTTGTGGGAACATTATGCCAGCCACGGAAGACGTCAGGAAATGCAAAAAAAAAAAAATAAAAATAAAAAGAAACATGAAAAGACACACACACACGCATACTAATCAGGTAAACAAGTAATTAAGATTTACTAATTAACTTTTACATACATGTAAATGAACATGCTTACAATTATATATTTGCTGAGCGTCATCGAAAGCCCGTATATCAATACATTTTAAGAGGGGGTCCGTGGGAAGTGTGGGAGTGCTCTATAGTACTTGTGCAGCAGACACGAGGCTGGTGGAGCGGCAACGCAATCAATAAGAATATCATCCGCGTTTCTTTTTAAAATAGACTGATTTAGGGGCCCGGATCTCGATGACGCGCACCAAGTTTCTCATTGAAACCATGTTTCATTTGCACTAGTTAAAATTTCTTTAGTAAATTTTAGTCAAATGTTTAGCTATCAGACCTATAGGAGGTATTCACTGGACGCCATATTTGAAGGCGATGTTTAGAGCGCATGCTCAGAACGAGCTCACATTAATAGCCTGCTAACACCGGCAACCTAGATGGTGCTAAATGCACGCTCCAAAAAGACTGCGGAAGCTCGCCGTCAGCACGCACTCAGCAGCAGCGCACACGGATATGGCCGCCAGTGAATACTCCCTGTAGGGAGTATTCACTGGCGGCCATAGCTGTGTGCGCGAATGCTGAGCGCGTGCTGATGGCGAGCTTCCACAGTTCGTTTGCAACGTGCATTCCGCACCATCAAGAGTTCCGGGCTTAGCAGCCTATTGATGTGAGCTCGTTCTGAGCATGCGCTCTAAACAGCACCCGCAAATATGACGTCCAGTGAATACTCCCTATATATTGCTAAATTATCGAAGCAACAAGGAAAATGCTTAGAATGCAGATCTACGTGCTGCACGTGCCGGCGTCTCCAGCACTGACTGTTCGAAAGTAAAGGCCTAAAACAAATGGGATTTTGCACGCACGTTCCGTCAGCGTTTTATTTTTTGTTATTTAATTCTAATCCTTTATACGGTGAGGGCGGGCGCGTTCGGCGCGTTGAACTACAGGGTGTCACGAAAGAAAATTAACATGTTCTTCTTTGCTGGAAAAATGAACTAGGCATCGCGGAACAGTCACTCTCCGCCCGAAGGTAGAGCTAGAGGTCACATCCAGATGCCAAAGTTTCAGCCCAATCCGATGACTTAATCGAAAGTTTTAAGTGATTTTCTGAAAATATCAATGGGAAAATGGAGCCCATTTTTGCCCGTTTTCGGTTTCTGGTGCCATCGAGCCCCATGTGTTCAAAAACTCCGTCGGCCGCCATTTTCCCATTCAAAATTTTCAGAAAATCACTCGTAACTTTTGATTAAGTAATCGGATCGGGCTGAAACTTTGGCATCTGGTTGTGACCTTTGGGTCACAACCAGATGCTACTTTTGGGCAGAGAATAAGTGGTCGGCGATGGCTAGTATTTTTTTTTTTTTGTGGTCAAAAAGTCCGTGTAAAGTTTCTTTTGTGACACCCTGTACATTCCCGATGTTGTCGTTGATGCTTGGGTAACTTAGCAATACGACTATTACTAGTATATTATTGCAGTCTCAGACGTCCACCGTGGCTGACAGTTTGTTCCAGAAAAAGGAGGCTTTTTAAATCACCCTACTGGTAAGAATTCTTTAAAAGCGTGAAACACCCGGTATAATTACGGGGATTTGCTTAGAAGAATCCTCACAGGACTTCATCAGCTACTGGGTGTTTTAAATTTATCTCTCAATTTCCTGCGCCATTGGTGCAGTGATGCCCTTTTCCTGGAAGAAGACCTGCCGTCGGGTGTCGCCCAGGAGCTGAAGAAGAGAGGTCACCGTTTTCTGGGCACTCTCAAGGGCGCAATGAGACGTAAAATGGGCTTCGCCCACGTCGTCACCAGGGGAAGCTGGTGGAACCGATCTGGAGGATCTCCAAGCTACATCGAGGGTCGCGACACTTTCCTCTGGTTCGGAAGCGATCCCCGGTGCGATGCGGCAGCTATGGCATACTAAGGTTCCCTTAAGAATCTATTTTCTACGAGGCATCCGATCACAACAGTGAACTTGGTTGTTTCCTTTCGAGGTTACTTTGAGGCCAATAAATGTCAATCCCCGACGAGGTGCTATTGAATGTCTCTTCACTGGGCGGCCCCATACGCACTTATACTTTTTACCCCTTGAGAACACGACTGGGAGCGACTTCAGTGAAAGCCCTTTTGCGAACTATACCTTCAAAGCTTCATGTTTAGCGCGCTGTATAGTCCTTACAGTCTAAGAGACGTTGGCCATGAGGAGTATTTTATTACCGCTCGGGCACCATCGAGATTGCCGAAATAGCCAATAAGAATGCTCGAGTACGAATCGCGAAGCAAGAATCGCTCAGAGATAACAAGCCACGGCCCGCGTTTCTTAAGCCAGTAATGGTATCCGGACGCAAGTTCGTCTGTTTCTTTTCCAGGGGTTGTGGTGACGTCATAACGCCGAGCTCTGATTGGTTCTGAATAAAGGATAGAGGGTAGACTTCAAGGCAGCTTGCTTTGAGGTCTACCCACTACCCTTCAGTTAGAGCAAATTACAGCTCGGCGTTTTCCTGACGTCACCGCAACTCCTGCTCTAGAAGCAGACGACTTGCTTTCCGGAAACACGCAGTTACATTACGTTGCGGTCGGCGAAATCCAAACACCGCCGTCTCCGCTCGCCTGCTCTTGGTGCTCACGCAAAGAGAGAGAGAGAGAGATTATGGCGAAGCACCTTTGTCTTGCCTTTCACGCTGCCTCGCGCGAAGCATACAGAGAAAAAAAAAGCGAGTACCCCATCTTCGCATCCGAAAGTTTTGTTTTGTTTTTCATAAAGCAATTATACATAACACTTATTATCCAGCGTTTCATGCAAACTCTTGGAGCACATTCTCTATTCTAACATCATAAACCTTCTAGACTCTCATAACCTCCTTTTCAAGCACCAGCACGGATTTCGCAAGGCCTACTCATGCGAAACTCAGCTAACAGAATTTCTAACTGACGTTTACTCAAATTTCGATTCCAATGTTCAAACTAACGCCATCTTCATTGACTTCTCCAAAGCATTTGACAGGGTCCCTCATCAACGTTTTTAATGAAACTAGGAAATATTAATCTTCACCCATCAGTAGTCAATTGGATTTCTGAATTCCTTACTAATCGCACAGAGTACACTTCTATTAACAATATAAAATCTACCATAAGCACAGTAACGTCTGGCGTCCCTCAGGGAAGCGTTCTTGGCCCCCTTCTTTTTTTATTTTACATTAATGATCTCCACCATGGCATCACTTCTGAAGTACGTTTGTTCGCCGATGACTGTGTCATATATAGACCCATTAATTCACGCCACGATCAGCTAACCTTGCAAAACAATCTCCAACTTATAATGCAGTGGTGTCATAAATGGCAAATGGCTTTAAACTATAATGACTGTAAATCGCTATCTTTTTCCCGCAGTTCTCATGTTCTATCCTCCTCTTACCACCTTTCTGGCATCCCAGTAACTGCTTGTTCATCGTATAAATATCTAGGAATTCATCTGACATCTGACCTGTCATGGACCACTCATATAACAACTGTCATCGCCGATGCAACCGCACTCTCGGATTTCTTCGCCGTAACCTCAGGCAAGCTACATCCCCCGTAAAACAACTAGCTTATACTACCTTGGTCAGAACTATACTAGAATTCGCTTCTTCCATATGGTCACCGTGGCAGGCATACCTAACTAACAACCTGGAATCCGTTCAAAGCAGGGCCCTCCGTTTTATTTATTCCGACTATTCCCCTTACGCAAGCATATCAGGACTTCGCCAATCTGCTAACCTTGACACTCTTTCTCACCGCCGCAGGGTGTCTCGTCTTTCTCTTCTTCATCGGATCTTTTATTAGAACAGTCATCTCAGACAAAGTTTGTTATTACCTCCTTACCGCATTTTCCCTTGTCTCAACCATTCTTGTAAACTCCGTCCGATTTCATCGTCAACCGTCACTCACCAAATGTCTACTTTACCATTGGCCATTGACGACTGGAACTCCCTGCCTGACGTAATTGTTTCCTTATCTGATACTAAGATATTTTCTGCAGCCATTAGCTTATTTTTTCTAACCCATAACTAGATCACATCGTGTTTTTGTAGATAAATAGTTTTGTTACTTGTTTTTTTTTTAAGTGTTCACTCCCTTGTATAATGCCTCTTGGGCCTCCAAGGAATAATAAATGATGATGATGATGATAAAGCAGCGCTTACGTTGGTCCTGCATCGTGCAAAAGAAGCGGTGCTCGCACCGGACGCGATGGCAGAAGTAGGTGTGGGTACGCCTCACGCGTGTTCTGAAGCACGTTCGCTTGATGTACAGTCGGGGACAAAAGTCTCCAGGACACGCGAGCTGCGACTGAAACGCATTGCTCTGCCATCTGCCGGTGGGTCGCCTGGTTTCGAGATCACAGAAGAGCGCATGCGCGTCCTACTGTGCCTGCCAACATGTGCGCTTTCCCGCTCTTCTGCGGCGCGGCGCCTAACTCGGAATCGGGCGCGTGGTACCGCCTCAGAGATAGCGCTTACTGACATGGCACATATCAAGCAAGAAGTCACGGCATCTCAACTGAGCGATAAGCTCAACTGGTTATAAAGCAAGGTGCGCTGACACGGCGAAATGCGGCGAAATGCCCGAGGCGGTATCTCGATTTTGGGAATGTGTAGCAGACGCTCGTCAGCCGCCAGCGCTATCTCCGAGGCGGTAGCACGCGCCCGATTCCGAGTTAGGCACTGTGCTACAGAAGACCGGGAAAACAGACATGTTCGCAGGCAGAGTAGGACGCGCATGCGCTTTTGTCTGATCTCGAAACCAGGCCACCCGCCGGCAGAGGGCAGAGCGATGCGTTTCAGCCGCAGCTCGCACGTCCTGGAGACTTTTGTCCCCGACTGTACATGTGTGCTTCGAACCCGTCTGCAGGGGTTTTTTTTGCGACCAATGTTACGGGACCGTTATGCAAAGACGAAGGATGGATGTTGGATGGATGGATGTTAATAGCTATACCCTTTGTAACGGGCGGTAGCTTGCGCCACCTAGCCCAAGTGTAAAAAGAAACACGTCTCGGGTACAGTGAATGCAAACTGTCCTTTCCGTAATGTATTGAGAGTTTTCACTGCTGCTTAAGGTACAAGGACATTGCGCCATCTCTTGATTACCTTTCCTTCTTTGCCATTTTGAGGAGCAGGTGCTCGTTCTTTCATAACATTTGCTTAGCAACTTGCCAGTGGTAGTCGGTACAACGAAAGAGGAACAAGATACCCGGCAAGCGGACGCGCAAAGCCGCAAGTCACGCTGCTAATGCATCTTACAAAAACACCGTGTGTACACATTGTCTCCAACGTGCTTATTCGTTTTTTTTTTTGTTTTTTTTTTACGGATATGTCACGTTACTTGTACAAGAACGTCTTGCAGACGTGTTCCAAGCGAATATAGGTATGAAAGAAACGAGGCTTTGCAACGCTCTCGAGTTGAGGACGCCGATAATGCTTTGTCATGGCGTCTGTAGCGAACCCTGGATCGTTTGTATGTTGTATGTACGAAAAGTAAGACTGTGGCTTAAGCACGGGCTTCAGCCGCGGTGTCACACATCATACAAAGGAGAATCTGCGTGCAGATTCGAACACGTGTTACACCGTGAGATTTGGACATCGAATGCCGCGTGGCAAAAGAGTACGAGGGGGAAATCTGGCAGGCGGCATTCGAACCAGGGATATTGCGGTGGGACCCCGGATAAGCAGTGGGACCCCGGATAAATTACATCACTGCGGAATGCACCATAAGCAACCAGAGAAAATCTCTCGTACTGTAACGTTCTTATCTACAGCGTAAGCCAGTGTTGCCAGATATCGAGACCTCTGACTGTCTAAGCATTCGGCTTTTGATTTAATATTCTCTTTACCGGGGGCAACAGTTTGAGATAGTGTCGCAGATGATACTGCTTGCTCGTAAACTGGCTAGAATTTGTGAATAGGGTGAAAACCTTTTAAACGAAATGGATTTGTCAGTTTCATACGTATATAGCATTGCGGAAAAGAATGACACGAACTCTAAAGGAGTGAGCTGTTCAATTGGCGTTCAATATTTTATAGACTTAAAGGTGTTTCGTGATCTACTGTGAACTATACTTCATTGTTGCGAGCTCAATATTTCGCCACTTATGGAAAATTTTGTCGGGTTTGAGAATATTTCGCGGGTAAGAAATTTCGCCATTTAGATTGGTACGCCATGTGTTTCTTACTGTGAAACGATATATTCGCGAGACCTTTTTTTCGCAAAATTATTCGAGTCACGAATTTTGCAAAAATGAGGTATTCGGAAAAATTAATTCTTTTACAGTGCCTTTCCATAGCTGTGAGAAAAATGTCACTTTCGCGCACATCCAATACGTCGAAGAAAAAACAAATAGCAACGGTTAAAAAATAGGTTTCACCTGATACGACGCTGCAATTTTGCATAAAATATGCGGTAGATCTAGGAATGAGATTCCGTAAATATGCATGGCGTTTTCTTTTTAAACTCTACATGCTGTTAAGAAACGTGTCAAAGCTACAGAAATACAGTTTGTGAATGTTAGCTATGCGGCCAGATAGGCATATTATAGGGAGCTAATCGCTGTGAGTCGGCTAATTACCATTATTTGTTTATATACATTTTTGATTAGTGAATATACATATAAGCTTTCAATTACAAACTCGCTGAACGTCGTCATGATAAAAAAAGCAACAAGAGCAACAATTGGAGAGCGTGGGAAAGTCGCTGGTGCGCTAGAGGTACCATCAGTCCAACCGACGCAAGACTGGGTGCGAAAATGGGCCCGCAAGGTTTTTCCGTCTTTTATCATCCACGTTTTCGCGCCATTAGCTTTGCGCCTGTTGCACGAGTGCTAACTTTTGCGTAATAACGTGCTTCCTACGTGCACGAAATCTTTCTAAGATTCACTTATGCAGTGGATTTTGATGAAGCTCAGCTAGATTCTAATCAGAATATGATGTAAACTTTCCCTAGTTAAGATTTAATGAACACATTTCGGGTAATTATGGGACTCATTGTGACGATTAGC